TGCTGACACACCCTATTGGGAGGTGATCTGGAACCAATCTAATGGTGGCCCTTTGAGACAGCCAGGGCTGAGGTGGTGGAGAACCAGGCTCTTTGCCAAACAGGTGAACATGCTTGGTCCTCCTAGTAGGGACGTGGGTGGGGGTGGGGGTGGCAGAGGCTCATGGAATCTGACCATACTTCTTAGTTTGGAACCCCTAGAATGAGGCCAACAAATGCAGATCTTTCTCAAGGCTGGACCCCACAGGGATGGGTAGGGGCCTGGCCTCAGTCCTCATGGAACCGGCAGCCATTCTGCCACAACTCTGAAAGTAGGTGTTTTGCTTCCTATTTGCCCCTTCAAACTGCATTCTTAGCCACGTCTAGGTCTTTAGATCTGCTTTCCTGGGGCCAAGCCCTCCTGAGCCCTGGGCTAGCTGGAACATTAGGGACGGAGGCACACAGGGACTGAGCACATTGTCCTACCTAGTCTTCCCCCATATCCAGCTACCCACCTACACCCACACAACTGTGCCATTCTCCCACTGGAGCCTGTGCTGCCCCCTTCAGAGGAGTCAAGGAAGCTTTTTCTAAGATGACTCCTCCAGCTGTAAGTTCCCCCATATTCTTCAACCACCCGCTTTCTCAAAAAAATCAACGCCTCCACGCTCATTTTAGTATAAACATCCCAGCAACAGCACATGGGGAGCTGTTGCGGAGGGCATAGGTCTTTATTGGAGGAGGGGTATGGGCAGGGCATGAGGAAGGTTCCCCCATGCTAGGAGGATGGGAACAGTCCTGGCTGCCCCACAGTGGGATGTGTGAGGGTCTCTGGCCAGGCCACAGTCCACACGGGAAGACACCAATCAGTCACAAAGTCATGGGAACGCCACACAAGCCTGGCTGTAGGCCCAGGCACCACACAGGTGCCCAGGGCAGGTCCCCTGCACATTCATTGTTAAACTATACAGGATGAGGCTGTACATGAGTTAATTACAAAAGAGTCATATTTACAAAAATCTGTACACACATTTGAAAAACTCACAAAATTGTCATCTATGTATCACAAGTTGCTAGACCAAAATATTAAAAATGGGATAAAATTATACATTTCTCTTCTCAATTCTTTTCAAAAGGATTAATATTTTTAAAGCACGTATGCTACTTTCCTTAGCAAGTCCCACGAAGAGACTGAGCAGCCCAGCCCTCCATGAGCCCCAGAGGCCTTGAGCCGTAAATGGGCCCGGCCAGGGGACACTGCCCAGAGCTGAGGCAGGGGGGCCAAGCCCACAGTGCAGAACAGAATGCTGAAACACAAAAAAAGGAGGAAGATGTCTTTGGCTAAAACTTTGGCATTAAAACAAAGAGGCAAACAGGATGGAAACATGCAGCCCTGCCAGCCAGGCTGCGGCAGAGTAGGGGAACAGGCGGCCTTGAAGGCTGGCTCCAAGAGAGGTGGGAACCAGGCCTGGGCACTTACCTTGATGGTAGAAAGTTGTGTTTCAACCAGTTGGGTGTGCCTACTGGGCCTGGCAGGGAGCACGTGCAAGAAAGAAACAGGGAAGGGCAAGTGGGCCACCTTGGCCACAGCCAGCTCATCAAGTAACTAAAGTGGATGTAGTGCAAAAGTTGCAACCAAGTACTACGGACATGCTACCTGCTTGCCTTAAGGGTCATGTGGCAATGCTGGGCCAAAGGCAGGACCCTGTCCTTGTCTGGGTGCCTGTGTCCTCAGCCAGAGAAAGAGCCCCAAGTTTTCCCAATGTGTGGGGGACAGGGGAGACAGAACCCTGTCTCTTTATATGTTAGTCGAGAGCTCCTAGGTCCAGGTATCAAGGCTCAGAGTTTGTGCTTCTCTTTGCAGTCTGTGTTCCCTGTTGGCACCAGCAGGCTGAGATCGCACAGAAGAATATTTGGGCCTCTCACCCCATGGCAGAGTACCCAGCCTGAGCCCTACCTCAAAATATCACAACAGCCCTTCTACACTGGCAAGGTGTCCAAGAAAACCCACAGGGTGGCCTGCTGAACAGGATGCGATACACAGTTCCATGGGGCACAGGGGCATGGGTGGTGATGTTCCTAGGGGAGTTCCGTGGTTCTCAGGTGGGCACCAGGCCTGGGGGGGCCATAAAGGGTCACCGAGGCAATGTGGTTGTTCTGCATGACCTGTTATGAGAAGAGGACAGCGAATCAAGGGGGAGGAGTTGAAGGGATGTAAGCAGAGCAGGCAATCAGACCCACAAAAACCAGCAGTGGCATCAGTCCTGGGCTGTGACTGAAGAGAAGGGACTTGAGGCAGCTCCTGTGCACAGGGGCTGGAGGTTGTGTGTGCAACCCACCTGCACACGGGGCTGGACTGACCCCTTAACACCCCCCAACTCATGCTAAGGGGGTCATCTCTGCTCCTGTGTCTGCCTGTTTCTCTGGGATATATAAACTTCACCACACCCATTTGTCCAGTCCTTCTGGAACCCCTGCTAGAGGTCTGCTGAAGGTATGGCATCCAGATGGGAAAACAGGGGCAGCTCATTCTTCTCCCAAGCTAGTGGGGCCTCTACAGCCACTCACCCCACAGCACGTTCATTCACATGGCATTTAAAGGCCCCCAACACCCCCGGACTGAGCCCCACTTGCCCTGTGGTTACCTTTCCTATTGTACTCACATTTTCAAATATAAATGTGGGATCCCCATTTCCTCTCATCTTGTTGGATTAACCTGCCCAGCAGGGCCCTCAGGCCCTCCCCAATCTCCCTCTCAATCACTTGCCTGTCCTCGCCATGACCACCGGCCACTCAACCCCCAGGGCTTACCTCAAAGATCATCCGCTGAAGACCAAAGCAGAAAGTGGAGCCAAATGGGTTGGTGTTGTTTGGGGAGGAGGACCTGAGGCCGGGGAAGCCACAGTTAGAGGGTCAGACAGAGGCCAAGGCCAGGCAGGGCATCCGGTTCCTTTTGGGATGGGGGCTATTAGCCAGTGGTCCCTCATGGCTGTGAGTGTTTCCCACACAGGCCCTTGAGGTCCTAGGCATAGTGATGGGCCTCATTCAAGCACAAAATCCTACATAGTCCAGCTGGCACAGAAAGTTAACATGTAGTTGGACTGGAGTGGTGCAAAGTCAGGAGGGAGAGGGAGCCTCAGGCAGGATGCAACCAGGTATTGGGCTGTGAACTAAAGCAGGTTGCAGCTTTGATAGGGAAGAGGGGGCCCAGGACAGCTAGTCAAAACTGCCTCCCTTTCTGAATAACTAGAGGCAAAAAGGTCCCCATACCTGGAGGTAGGTGGGAGATGGGGGAGCTATCCCAAGGGGCAGCCTCTCTGGTGTGAGTAAACATGCAGAACAGCTGGCCTAGTCCTAACACGCAGGGTTGCGGCAGGAAGCATGTTTGTGGCAACATCAGAAGTTTGTCGTTTCTGTCATTAAGCCATAGCCACTGCTAGGGCTCCCTGGGACTTCTGGGCTGTGAGGAGCCGGATGGGGTGATCAGAGGCAGCAACCTCCTGCTCACCTGTGCAGGACAACAGGCTTCTCCACAGGGTGGCCCAGGAGGTCCTGGATGTTGTCCCACTGCAAGAGGGATGCGGGTGACAGGGGATTAGCAGGGACCCGACCCTACCCGTGACAAATGGCTGGCCCAAAGGACATGGGAACCCGGACTGCTGGCAGACTCATGCCTACCTCATTTTCAGACTGCATCAGGTGGGAAAATAGGAGCTTACCTTGCTGTAGGTCGTGCATGTTTCTGTCTGACCATCTGTGTTTTCTGAAAAGAGAACACAGGGTGGTTGGTATCTGGCCTGGCCCGGATTCAGTTCCACACCTGCTCAGGTAGATGTCTCAGCCCACCTGTGACCCCAGCCCTAGCCACCCTATGCACTGGGATTGATGTTTGGAAACCAGCAATCCCATGGTCACAGGATAAGACCTTGAGGGCCTCCAGGAGACTACAGACCAAGAACACTGTGGCCCCCAGAACACAGAGCCCAACCCAGAAGAGCTGAGGCTATGGGCAGGAGCAGGTGGGCAAAGACGCCACAAACCCAACCACTGCCACCCTCTCTGCGTGGATCACCATCTCTTCTCATCATGAGAGACTGATTCTAAAACCCTTTCTTTACCCTGAGGACACTGACTACTCACCTCTCTTTACGGTTAGTGGGATCTTGAACTCACAGCGGTGATAACTAGAGAGAGAAGGCAGATGGGTAAAGGTTGAACCCCTTGGGAGGCCTTGACCACCCCCACATCTCAACTCTGCACCCCAGGAAAAACAGGATCAAGCACACTTGCCCAAAGCCCTGGCTCTGGGCCTGACACAGTGTTCCCTGGGAGAGGCCAAATTTGTGCACTGGAGTCAAACCAAAAAGGGCACAGCTTGGGGGCTCTGAAGACCCTATCACCTCAGCTAAGAGGCCAAGCTTTCTGAATCTATTTCCCTATTTGTAAAATGGGTATAAATGGAGAGATATAAGGTAATGGGTACTGTACCAGGAACAGAGCCAACACTCAGGAAATGTTTGCTTTCCATGAAATAGCAAACATCCAAAGCCACAAGCTCTCTTTCCTGGAGGGGCAGGTACCGGTATACTCACATATTAA